GAGGCTGTGCCCACTTCTCTGCGTTCTTGTGAGTGGCGGCTCTCCTAGTCACAAACTTCACCAGGTTGTAACGAGCACGGTGCGTGGCTTCGTCACATGTAATATGTCTGCTGCATTTTACTGGTTTTTCAAGGAGTTAAAATGAACGTCTATTTGTCCTTTGCTCTTTACTTCACTTATCACCTTCTCTCGTTACTACCACCTCTTTCTTCACCATCACAGCTATGTGTGCTTGAGAATTCTTCTATGTGGCTTTCGTACCACCCAGCTCAAACTATCTTTCCACATGACTTCATGCCTCCACCAGCTCCCTTTCAATTTTTCTTTCATTGCTTTTCTATAAAGGTTTTATTCCTATTAAGGTAAACCAGAAGTTGATTTATGCAAAAAGTTTACAAGTTCCTGTGCAAAAGCCTTTCCCAGGTCTGCTTTTCTTCCACATCTTTTGAGTAAATGAGTCTTTCATGAAGCAGAATATTTTCCGTGGCTCCGTCTCATCTTCTGCTTCCTCTCTGTCTCCCTCTCGTCATCCTTGGGTGAGGTGAGGAACAGCCAGTGTTTTTTTCCCAGCAAGATGTCAGTAGACTCAGGCTCTTTGATGTTCCACTGAAAGCATGTGACTTAGACAACTTTTAGACAAATCTCCAGTGTTCAGCAAGCTGCCACGTCATGTGTCCTCACTGGACAGAAGCTGAGCTAGTTGTCTTCCTATCACGGGGCATTCTAAGCCCAGTGAGTGCATTTCTGAATACCTCGAAGGACTCTGAAGTTCTTGGGTCTAGAAGTGAAGTACAGAGACTCTCTGCAAGTGTCATTTCCACGTGAGCTCTGCTCACAGTTCTCCTCGGATGAGCCCCACGTCCTAGGAAGCAAGGCAGGCCCATCGCTCCCCAGGATGAAGAGGGACTCGCACTGCACGGGAGAAGGGGGATGTGGACCCAGGGGACGCAGGGATGGGGCCGGTCCTCGGGGCACGGACGCCGGGAGACGAGGGGCTCCAGCACTGGCCTCTCCAGCTGCCTGACCCTGGATCCAAGTCTCAGGCCTGGGAATGAGTGAACCCTACTTTCTGTCTCAATTCAACCCATTTGCAGTGTCATTAGGGATAATTCCTTTAAAAGCTGCTAAATTACTCATTGGAGACTTCAGCTTCTAGTGCAGTTGTAACTTTGCGTATCCCCCTGCGCCCTGGTTTATGTTTCAGCGAGAAGACCCTGCCTTCTCCGCTGTCTGCTCCGCTTCCTGGGGACGAGTTCACACTTTGGGGAAGCAGCCACGGATCCTAAGCCGAGGAACGGCGAAGAACCCCAGGGCGCTGTAGAGGGCGCAGGACTCACAGCACGGGTCCAGCGGGATCGCGGGGTTCCGGTCACGTGAAGAGGTCGAGTCTGGGCGCCCACTGCCCGCCCACACCAGCCCCTCCTCCTGCGGCTCAGCCCACTTGTCTGCCTGTCGTCACCTGAGGAACAGTTTTCATGAGCTTGAGACTTTGCACGCTCCACTCCTGCGTCCCGTCCTGTCCTGGGCAGGTTCTGCTGCGTCTTCATGGTGTGTTTCAGGAGGCATCACCCCAGAGTCCTTCCTGATGATCCGTCCTGAGACCCTCCTCTGCCGTCTACCAGGAGCCCCACGACCGCGCGCTGGGTAAGTCCTCTGCTGGCAGAGCCCCCTGCACCGCGCCTGCAGGGGAGGGGGCTCCTCTGATGGGTGAAGACAGGAATGTGACCGGCCTGAAGGTCACATTCTGCCCTTCAAGGTGGCCCCCAGGCTTTCTTCAGGCCTGCGCGTACTGGCAGATCATCACCTTTATCGACAGTACAGTGAGCCTAGTATATACCAAAATAAAATCCTTCAAAATATTTATTAAATTTTGCATGACCTATCCAAACACGTTCGAGTTGGGCTAATAGTACATGAGACCGTGTGGCTGTGCAGTTACTTCTTAGCCAACTGCAGATCAGGAGGGGCGGGCGGGATGTGAACGGGAGCCTCAGGGGCCACCCACCGGACATCTCGACCCATCCCAACTTCTAACTCGGTTCAACAGACCACATGCTCATGCAAACAAAGCCACTTTCCAGCGTCACATCATTTGAGCTCACGGTACGTGTTGCCATTGTCAAGAATGATTATTACACATTCACACTATCTATTCAGGAAGGAAGCTGCCCTGAGCTTGCTGGCCCGTTTGAAATGGGGGACAGGGGTCTGTCTCACTCTCTTGGGTCCCCTGGAGTTCTAATGGTGCTTCTTTGATAAATTGAAAGAGAACAATAAAATATACCTAAGATTCTAAGGACATTTACTTCTGAACATAACAATTTACAACAAGATTGATCAACTTAAAATATCGATTATATAATATATTCATATATTACATATTAATATATTGTATATACTATATATGATGTATTTTATATTTGTAAATGTATAACTTCATATACTATAAACCAAATATCACATTTAAATTAATCAATTTATAACAGGATATGAAATTTAATAGCCACTGTAACAATAACTTTTAACAGCACATCTGAAATGTACATGTAAAATGTTTAAATGAGGCTGTATCTTCTCATTATCTAAGCTGAAACAATGTGTCCTAACTTTTAAGTGCTGGGCGTCTCCGCCGTCCACCTTTTTCTGGCTCCCCCTTCCAAGTTCTTCACCAAGCAGTTAGTAGCGTATAAACAATCCCCTAAATGTGTTCTTTGGACTAAGGGCCATTTAATACATGCTTTCCAGGATAATAATTTCTAAGACTTCTGAAATGCAGCAAAAAACCAACATTTTCTAAAATTTTCACAAAGCAATGCAGAAACTCCCATTTCAAAACAAGTATATTGGACTGTTATTAAAATACCTCTGAGGACATATATATTATTCCCCAAAAGGTAAGTGAAGCTGTGTTATATTCTCATGGTTCCTAAGTCCAAAAAAAAAATAAAATCCAAAGAGGAATAAAAGCAGAGATTTGACAAACGGTAGACGAGTTAGAATGGGCAGTTATCCTGCTGTCGACCATGTTAGAAAGAAATATTACTTTCTTTTGTCCTTTAAAATAGGTCAGTCAGAAAGTCAAAGGGTACAATTAACATGAATATGCTTCATGTATGAAATATTTGCCCCACGAGGGTAAGCAAACAATATCCCTTTGATAGAAAAGCTGTGATCATTTGCCTTAAGTTTCTTTAACTAAATAAGTATTTCACATGTTCCCAGCATGAGTTTTCTAAGAGGATTTGGGTGAACTGCAAATGTCTATGATATTCCAGAATGAGCTGACAGGACGAAAGTTCCCTCAGAGCTTTTGTGGGAACACTTGAACAGATTTCACTCTTGTTTAAACTAGAGTTGCTGATTATTTTGGTGACACAGTTGCCAGTGCGCTAGGAAGCTACAATATGATACTTTCACACATCAAAGGAGACATCTAAATCCATGCAATACTTGCATAACACATGCATTCTGGTCATCTTTTATCATCATCCAATTAGATAGGAAGCAAGATCATCTTAGTGGGAAGTGCTTATGAATGTACGTGTCCATGAGGCTTACACATGTTTTAATAGCTCAGTAGCACGTAATTACAACGACAGAAGGCAAGTTTCCATCAAGAATCATTAAGGCCCTTGAAAAAATGCAAGTAGTTGAGTGTCCTTCCTGTCTTATTACCCAACAAGACCCACAGCAAATCAGAACACATAAGGTGGACAAAAAGAGAAGAAAGTAAATGTGTCTCCCGATCCAGCATGGTCCCGATCCACAGGGACATGTCCTTCTTACTAAATTTTAGAGGTACTTACTGAGGTAAGCTTGCTAGGTAGGACATTACAAGGAAGATAATAGAATTCTGCAGTCATAAGATATTCCATAATAGAAGGTGTTGTGAGATAATTCTGGCATGGGCAACATTTGCTTTTGTAATGTGATCATCTGTTAAGGTGAATCTAAAAATCAATTTAAAAATTCATAAGATGATTTTGTCCTCTTGTTGCTCTACAGGCTTATTACACAATCTTTCAACCAGGATTATTTCACGGGGGTCTGTTCCAGGACAAATGTTCTTTCAGGTCACTAGACTCCAAAGATAGAACAAAATCCGTCTTCCAAACAGTGTACTTTTATAGACCATCACCAGTCTCATCCCCAACTTCGTGAAGGCAAAATTCACAAAAAATTGTGCACATGCCTCTCTCCTGCAGACCAGGGGGCTATGCAGCTCATCCCACGCAAGTAACACTTTTTTAAAGGATTACTTGATCAACTAGGGTCCCTGTCGAGAGCTATCAGCAGGTGATTTGGTCCAATTCTAAAAACAGAATTTTAGCACCAAAAATCTGATTCTGTACAAATCTCCTTGGCCATCTCTTCATCTAAAACAGATTCCATACTCCAGAAACGCAGGGAGTAAGCTACCCCAAACTTAATTTCTTTATAAAAAGAAATTATGCCCATGAAAAAGGAATTATATTTCACTGAAAGAATTGGAAAGAATTTTTTCATTAAAATGACAAATATAGTTTTCATACCTGAAACTAATTTGGTGCTAAAGTGAACAAACAAACAAAACAAAAAACCGAAACCAACCAGCCGCGTCACAGATACGTGAGCACCCACCTGGCGCAGGCCGAGGGGCTAACCGCACCGCGGGGCGCAGCCTGGATGCCGGGGCCGGCCCGCTCAGAGATGTCGCCACTTGGTTTGCCAGCAGTTGAGGCTTTTCGAGCCCATGGAATAATCTCAGTTCTTCAGGATATATCCACGTTGAGTCCAGAGCAAAGGCATTATTAAAAATGATCTGTTCAAAAGAAAGCAAGCAGAACACTTAGCACCATGCACATGATCAGAGCTAAAGACTGTAAAATATTCATCTTGTTTTAGGTTGAATATTGGAGGTTCTATAAGCAGGGACTCCATAAAGCCACTACTCTAAAACTCGAAGACCCACAGGGCTCTGACACTAATCACCTTCTGGTTAGGTCTCCTGGCTGGTCTTCAGCTACTGACTTGGCCAGTTCAGCCCAGCAGCCAGTTTACAGATCACAGAGTCACCCCAGTGAGGGAAGCAGTATGTCCCTGGACTGCTTTCTGTTGGTTTTCAAGTTAACAAAGTGCAGCCAGTATATTTGAATTCAAAAGCCAAGATACACCGTCAGAAAGATGAACACTCAAAGCCATACTAGCAAAAAAGGAAACTTGCTTTTACAATTTGTGCTTGAGTTATATGATGCCTGAGGCTAGATTTTGATCAATTGGTGGCAGGCATAAAAGCTGAAAAATTTTAAAACTAGATTCTGAATCAGAAGTCAAAATTTTATATTGTTCTATGAAATCTAAATATTTTAGGCCAAACAAAATCCCCCACCACTACCATCTACTGGTATTTTTGAACAGACCAAGCCTATTCTGAAAAGGTTTCTCTCTTAACCTAGATGCTCAATCTGTTGCAATTAACAAATAGAAATACACAGTGATTTCTGTTATGGAAATACCCAACGACTTAACAATTAACAGCACATTTATCCAATTAGAGTAGTTGCATTTTTACCTTACAATTAGGTATCCTTTTGTCTATCCAACTTTTCCCAACAGGAGGTGGAAGAGCAGATGGGCAGACATGTGGGAAAAGGGGCACCAATTCCACAGTGGAAGAGGGGGACAGTCCAACGGACGGAGAAGGACCACCAAAAAGCCACTGAAACCCAAGAAGAGAGAAGGGAGTGCTTATCAGTTTATGTCAATCAACTCTACTTTGTACTAAAAGACACTGGGATAGCTGCTTTAAAAAGGAGTTTAAAAATTCATGTCTTTGATTATGAGAAAAATTTCCTCTCCACAGTCCAAAAAAAACCCTATACATATTCAAAAATTTTAAAAATCTATAAAACTTTTTGCATCTGAATCATCATAGTGCATTAACAACACTGCATTCTTTAATATTAAGAACTTCCAAGCACAAAACCATGAGAACATGGTAAGAAATGGGCTTCTGCCCTGAGAAAACGAGAAACCACAATGGGAAAGTGAAATGCTGGGTACTCCTTTTATAATTCTTGAATACTTTCCATAAGCAAGCGGAGAGCTGTATTTTATGGTATTATTTTTCCATATAACACTTTGTATTGATTATATTTAAAATTTTAAAAACATGCACAAGTAATATTTTCAAACTAAGAGGTTAAGATTCAAAGTTTCCAAAGGTTCACAAATCCGGATTCCAAAGCAAAGAAAATATAAGTGAGCTTATCACATAACTGAAGATCCCAGTGCACAGAATAAAACAGCAAACATTGAAAGGGAGCAGATAATTTAGGAGACAGTGTCCTTCATTAAATCAACTATCAGTGGAGAATAAGATCATTGTTCAATGATATGGAATGCTTCAATATGTATTTGTTTTAAAATGGTAAAAGCATTTTTTAATTTTTCTGTAATGTAAAATGTTCTTCTGGTTCTAAATATTGCTGTTTAACAGAAAATATTTAGCATGCAATATTTTTAAGACTAATAGTAAGTTTTGTGGGGGATTTTTCTTTTTAAATTTACACAAGAAAAAAATGCAGTGTTTTATACAGAAAAAAAAAATGTAGTTCCTTGATACCTCTAGTGGTAGCACTCGGATATATCAACTCCTTCAAAATATCCAAAAAGCTACCAACGTTTATTCAAAAAACCTTAACATGAACTGAATCACATATCAAAATACGATATCTAAGACCACATATATGCTGTATTATTAAGTCTGAAGACCAATTCAGGAAGCGTTAACATCTTTTAGAAACACTCACAAGATAATACTGGAATTAAATTAATTAAACGGTATATTCTAAAATCCATTCATTCGAATATGCTAATAAGGACAATCACTGGAATAAAATACATGTTATTTCCTGATTTAAATGCATCGCATAGTTAGATAGCAAACAATGGATCTTGCCAAAACCAGCTTGCCTTGCTCTGTTGCACCATTAATCAAAGGTACAGCCACTTTTTCTTTCTAATTCCAGGTTTTAAACGCCAAACTCTTCTAAAGTGCACTATGACACTAGCTAATTTGGCTAGTGTCAAATTAGCTCGGGCAGATAGCGGATGGGAGTGGGAATCACCAGCAGCATTTCTCAGCATTAAAGGCAGGATTTCCCTGCAGGCTTTCTCTGGTTTGAATTTCCTTAAGCGCTGTCCTGAGTCTATTTTCAAATGAAAAAAAAAAGCTAGATCAGAATCTGAAATAGCTATTGATTCCCAGCTTGCTTCTCAAGCCTGGCAGAGACTGTAAAAGTATTAACTTCTCCTCTGCAAGCTGGCCACGGTGGGCAGCCGAAACGCTCGGCTCCGAGGCGGCTACTTCAGCACCGCGCTCTGGACAGCGACCCCGGCCGCGGCGAAAGTTGTGGCCCAGGCGGTCCCAACTCCGGCCCCGGGGTGCGGGCCTCCCAGCTGCTCCGCTGAGAGACCGGGAAGAGCACTGCCAACACTGCCGACCGGCACAACGGGACGTCGAAGCATGAACTTCGTTGCCGATGCATGGCTGCCAGGCTGCGCCCTGGTGCTCTGGGGAGCCGAGGACCACCGCGGGGGGAAACGGCGCGAGCCCCGGGGCCAGGGCCGCCGAGCCGGGCAAGGGCCGCGCCCAGGGGGCAGAGGGGAGGCCGGGGGCCTCAAACGGGGGGCCGGGGGCCGGGGGACACGTTACCTGCCCGTTGAGCAAGGGGTAGTGGTGCACGGCGGCGGCGGCGTGGTCTGGCGCAGAGGGCAGCGGCAGCAGAGGCAGCAGGGGCTCGCCCGCGGCTTGCCAGCCGGGCGGCCCCGGGAGCAGAGGGGCGGCGGGGGCCTGGGCCGAGGCGAGCAGCACTGGCGGGGGAGCGACCCCCGGCGCCCAGCCGGAGCAGCCCGGCGAGCCAGGGACCATCCAAACCCAGGGCGGCGGCGGCGGCGGGTCTGCATTCATCGGCCAGAGAAGAGGCTGCCGCCGCCGGGGCTGCTGCAGCTGCCGCCTCCGCCGCTGGAGCCTGGTGCCCACCACATCCTACATC